GATGGGCCAAATGAAAATCAAAAATTGTGAAAAAAAATCTTAGGAAATATTAATACTTGGTCTATTTATTTTATGGAGATTTGCATGCTCATAGCTTCCTAATTCCCTGTGTACAAGTTTGAAATACTTCTAGATTTGATTACTGATTCATTAAAAGCAAAGTTTCTCCTTTCCCATAATTTCATTATTAAAATCAGTATAAATAGTTCAATTGAAATTAATAACATGTATCAGATGTTTAAGATGTATTTAAAATAATTCATTGGTTTTAGATATAACATGCTTGCTTTTATGGCACCCAAGTTATAGCAAATGAGCCCAAGATTGCTTGAATTACAGAAAGCCAGCCCAAGGTTGCTCTTCTACAATGGTGACTTCATGTGGGGTTGCTAGGCTCTTATTTTTATTACTTTTGATTTCTGTTTAAAATAGTAGGTTTATTTTAAACATTTATATCAGTACTCCCTTATTTCTACAAATGTTTACTGGTGGGATCTACTTTGGGACCAAATCAGTTAACCATGTTTGGAATATTAGATTTTCACTTAAAGATGTTTAGTCTCTGAATGTATTATACAGGTGAATTAGGTATATGTTATTGAGGAATATTTATCTCTAGAGTCTTCGCAAAATCATATTAGTAGCTCTGTCATTAGTATAGCCAGGCTCAAACTTATAAACTTTTAAAGATAGAATACTATAATGTTGCAAATGTTTATTTCAGTTTGTTTTAACAAGGTGTTCTGGGGGGATTGTAGGTGTTTGTTATTTTTTTGTCTGATGTATCATTAATTTAATCTTTTTAAAAGAAAACATTGTGGTTTTCACAATATAGTATTTAGAAATCGAACCTATTGTATGCATGGGATAGAAATAATATGGTTGATGGGCTCCTGTTTCTAGACTGTCACTTTCTATTTTTCTACACTCTTTCTTCTAATTCATTACCCTTTTTCGATGGAGATTAATTGGAAAATTTGCCAGTTTAACCAAATGAATGTTGAAAAACCTATCTTTTCCTATTCTCAGAAGAACATGATTATATTTATTAGATTTCCAGTTTCATGCTGTCCTTTCATCCATTGCATATTGGTGATAACCAACTGAGTTATTTCATCATATTCCTTCAAAAAGAAACCTTATGTATATCGGCTTTAAATTTGGTAACTTTCAAATCTTTATTTCAGTGACTAATAATCCTTTATACTATATAAATAAATAGTCTTGCAAATTATTTAAACAAACATAACCATAAACAGAAAGAGAGAATGCATTTGGATCCAAATAAGGTACTATTGTAGGAAAATATGGTAGATTTGTATATGAAATACAAAAACATTGGGTAATTTTTCTTACAGGGATTCAGTAGGAATCAAATGGAATTAAGCTATTTTAGATATATGTGGGAAAGTTATAAAATGAAATGAGTTTATTTAGGTTAATTTAAACTGAATTAATCTCTAACATGAAATACAAATTGAGCCAGTGTATCTGAAAAAATTAACATTTCTTGCTGTACTCTTTATGTGTGGAAAACTCTAGGTTGGGAAAAGAGGAAGGGAAGAAGGGTTTTGATACTGCGTTTTCAAATGTAGAGGAATGTTAATATAACGTATTGGCACCAACCTCATTTTCCATAATTCTTTAACTTCTTTTCTGAAGTTTAGTAAGTTTTTTTGCCTTGGAATAGGTCTATGAGATAAACCATTTTCATAAAGCTCCCTTGTCCGAAAATAGAGGTAACAATAAAGTTAATAATTTCCCCCTATCTACGTATTTGAAGATTGCCCTTATACCAAAAATATTGCATTCATTTTTTTTGAAATACCAGCTTTCTCCAGCTATAAAGGTTTTAGAGTTGGAATCAGTCATTTTGAGGAAAGACAGAGCTGTTATGTAAACATGAAACAGATGTTTACAACTCCAAAGGCTGGGAAGGGAATAGCTAAACTCTGTTGACTCAGAGAGGAAGGAGGCAAAAGTCAGGATTTAAACTCTGGGCTTAACATGAAAAATACTGATGCCTATGTACAGTAATTGTTCCCTTTAGCAGTAAAGAATCTTATCTACCATGTTGAATCTGTGAAAATTTTGTTCTTACTCAAGGTAGAATTGAGTTTCTAGTAGCTGGTTTTTATTTTTGTGCCTAGAGCGAAGTCTGATACCAGTTAGGTACATCAAGATGTGGAGACTGGCTCCCAAAATTTCTCAGCCAACATATTTTTATGGAAATTTTTGGGAATACATTTTTGGCTCGTGTGCCATAAGGGGGGAACACAGGGGGGTCGTGCATGGGTGTGCCGCACCCATAATGCAATGCATGACCCCCCCCCCAGTGCATATGCGTGCAAGAGAGGCGAGACCCCACCCCATTTTTTCATGTTTTTTCACCCTCCCCAGGCTCCAGAGGCTTTATAGGAGCCTGGGAAGGGCGAAAACAGCCTCCCCTGCACCCCTGGAGGCCCTCCGAAGGCTTCAAGGACCTTCGGGAGGCTTCCCTGAAGCCTCCGGAGGACTAAAAAGGACCCTACGAGGGCTGGGTTTTTTGCGCTCTGGAGGCTTCAGGGAAGTTCCTGCAGCCTCCGGAGGGCCTCGGGGGGGGGCTCTTTTCGCCCTCCCCAGGCTCCTATAAAGCCTCTGGAGCCTGGGGAGGGCAAAAAATGGCTTTTAAAAAGGGTGAACTCAGCTGGCCAGCGTGCACATGTATGCTGGCCAGCTGACAGGGCAACGCCTTGCGTGCCCTGATTAATGGCTCCGTGTGCCACCTATGGCACGCGTACCATAGGTTCACCATCCCGGTGCTATAGAGTTTAGGGAGATTTCACACTTGTTTTAAAATGCGTAAAACATGTGTTTGGTTGCCACAATGTAACAAAGATGTTGAGATTCTAGAAAGCATGCAGAGAGTACCACTGTACTGTAGTTTCATTTGTTCCTGATGTATAAACAAGTACTTCCCCAAAAGCTGCTAACCACATGTTAACAAGCCCAGCTTTGTGACAAGTAACTAGGGTTGATTAGTAACTCTCCATTCTGTGTGTTTGAAATTGACAAGACTGTAAGCAGTTACAAGCAGAAGGCTTTTGCTTCTATTGGACTATAGCACATTTCTGCAGTTGAAAACCTATTTTTGATGCTGTAATGTGTAATATTATATTAATATCCATATAAGTCAGTCAGTCCGTCCGTCTGTCCACCTGTCCATCCATCCATCTATCCATCTATGCCTAATTCTTTTTTCACCGCTTGTTTACTGTAATGTTTGTGGCTAATGCCAAGAAAGTTAAACAGTGTGTCCTCTATTCCTTTTCTACCATTTGTTCTTCTTTCCAATTGTCCATGTCCACATTTGCCTGTTCAGATTTCTGATAACTCTTTAACTAGCTGCAGTTCATCTTCAGATTTATTTAGAAAGTGTCATGCTAACCGATATAGCCCACTAGATTTATCAACTGATGTGGAAAACATTTTTCCCCTGACTTATTGTTTAGAGCTTATAACTAAAAAGATAAAACTACTTGGAGTAAAAAACAAACAAACCCCTGTTTGATTAATGAAATGCAATAGTCCAAAAGATCATGTTCTGATTAAACGAAAAATAACCAGCCACTATTTCATTCAACATTGCTTGAAAATAGGCAATAACTTTCTTCCAAACTAAGGTACAATCCTTGCCTAGTAATCAGGCGGAAAACAAATGTCTAAAAATTCTGGTATTTTTGTTATGAGTGGTTCTGACTTTCTTTGGCATCTTGTATGTTTTTCTTTGACATTTTGCTATTGTAGATTACTCTGAGCCATCTGGCAAATGCTTAGGCTTCCAAATAAATGAGTTGGAGGCCTTTGCCTTTTTCATGGCACCAGACTGGAAGCTGATTTGTATAAGGCCCCATTCTCCTAGAAAGGAAGATTTTGTTTTTTAAAGACTGACCTATTTAAAACTCTTCTCATATGAAGTACAAACATAAATATTACTTTTTTCCACTTATACATAACATATGCCAACTCTGAGCTGAGTAAATTTGGTACAATGTCTGTATAAAATTGGACAAAGTTCTGAACAGGATAATTGTGCCTTGATTATATTGTCAAACCTATGTTCTTCACTTATGGATGATTGAAAAAAATATATACTAGGTAACTTTTGCTAGCTACAGTCCTGCTTGCACAGAATTCTATCATTTTTCCATATAAAGACCTGGGGTTTTTATAAATGACATGTTACAGGTGGCCTGTTTTGAGTTTTAGAACCTTTGGTCTCTCAGATATTACTGGACTATATTTTCTAACACTCCTTACTGTTCCACCTAATGGAAATTATAATTCAGAAATACACCAGAAATCAGAGGTCATTGTGGGTATACAATTAGGCAGGGCATATTTTGGAAATATTATGGTGCATGCATCTAATCATGGATGTAGATTATGTTTGCAAGTTTTTGACTGAAGTTTAATTGTTTTGCCATCTGCAGAGGCTGCATGATCCTGGAAAAGATTAAGTTGCTTTAACGAGGTGCAAGCAGATGCCACATTTGTGTGATCCCTGCATATCCCAAAGCACATTTTTCAGAACTGAATCTGAAGTACTGTGCAACTCTAGTATAATTACTGAGTCTGATAAACAAATGTACTCAGCATGCCTGGTATTTAATTGTAAACTTTTTTGGAATGTTTGCTTGGCTAAATAAAATATAATATCACATTTAGCAACAAAAAATTAATGATTATTTATTTTAAAAAGAGAGCCAGTTTGATGTAGTGGTTAAGGTATCAGACAAGACATTGGGAGAACATGTGGCTTCTGGGCGACTTTTGGCCAGTTGTTCTGTCCCTTAGGCCAAATCACCTCACAGGGATTTTGGCGAAAATAGGAGGAGGAAGCATTATGTATGCTACCTTGATTTGTACAAATATAGATGGAATAAAAATCAAAGAAATTATTAACAGCAGATTGAAAATGTACAAATTTACATATATGCACATTTTGTCTCCATTTTCAGTGTTCTGTCTGGTTATAATGGAACTATATTTGCCTATGGACAAACTGGCAGTGGCAAGACTTTTACAATCACTGGGGGAGCAGAACGTTACAGTGATCGGGGGATAATTCCACGGACCCTGTCTTACATATTTCAGAGGTTGCAAAAGGTATAGGCCATTATTTTGTCCTTTTCATTTAAGAATAACTTCTTTACAGAAATATACAATTATGTAAATAAATTTATTTCTGTAGCCTCAAGAAGTTTAAGATTCTATATATTTAACAGGAAATCAAAGGTCTAAAAATTGTCAAGTTGCAACTGTTATTTTAATAGAAGAGAATATCTCTACTTGTAGAGTCCTTGTAGATATTTCATTACCTGACTAGATAACAACAATAATACTAGCACTCTCTAATAATGTTATTTGGTTGGGTAAGGAAATGTCTACAAGCAAACAACCCAGCTCAGAGAGCACCAAGGACTCCAAGATGTTTTTTTATACAGGAATGGTATTGTATCACAGAAACCTGGCTTAAAGTTTTAAGTCAGCCTGGCATCATTCAGTGTGTATGGCCACCTGCTCAACAGTTTGTATTAAAATTAGATTAATATTAATTTATGTGACATTTATTTAAAACTGTAGTACAATTAATGCCTGAATTTACAACAGCTCAGAAGATCTGAGTCTCCTTTGCTATGAAGGAGCAGGTGTGTTTGGATTTCTCCTAGAGTAGTCTTGCAAGACAGAAAGCACGCCCAGATGAACTAATTTGAGTTTATTGTGAGGGTACATTAACAATATCTTGCAATACATTTCTCCCCCATCATCGTCTACAGCCCAAGAAGTATGCCATGCCCACATTCCTTCTGCAGACAAAGCTGCTTCTTATCTGAATGGCACTTCCCTCTGTGGCCCAAGGTCATTGCCACATAGAGAGACTGGCCAGGTGAGCATTTGGCCAGCAATCTTACTTGGAATTCAGGGACTTCCCAACAGTAACTTATACCCTCATTACTAATCATACAAATTACTGTAAATAAGGCATTCTACATAGGGTTGCCTTTGAAAATCACTCAGAAACTGCTGTTGGAACAGAATGTGGCAGCCTACTTACTGGCAGATGAGAGTCACCAAGCGCATATAATACTGGTGCTGCAGGCCCTGCAATTCCAGATGCAATTCAAAATGCTGGCTCGGCATGTATAAATATATATGACTTTCAACTTCACACCAATTACTTGCAGAACTGCTTCCCTAGCAGAACTGACCTATATACAATATTATACCTGTTTCTGGTAAAGCTGCTGGTTGTTCCCCATTTCATTGAAGTGAGGGAATCTGAGGCCACCAGGCATTCCTAATTAGTTGGTTGTTGATGATGACTCAGTCCAATTTATTTTAACATATCAATAAGATGGATTGTATTTTAATGTTTTATCACTCTGAAATTCCTTAGCATGGTTTTTTGTTGATGAAATATAGTGGAGATACCTAGTTAGATAGAGAAGAGAGACGCTAACATCAAGTTTGTGTAGTACTAAAGTTAAAAAATAAATATAAGTAAAATCTAGATTTTATACAATTATTTATTTTTTCCCTTTTAATTCAGGATATCAGTAAGGTTTATACCACACATATTTCTTACTTAGAAATTTACAATGAGTGTGGTTATGATCTGCTAGATCCACGGCACGAAGCCTCCAACCTGGAAGACTTACCGTAAGTAATGCAAGATTTGTAAAAATCAGCACATCTTTTTTTCTTTTCTCCTCGTTCCAATTCTCTGGGTATGTCTGCGTGTCTGCATATCAAAACACATTAAAATTTATATCAAATTAAAATTTCTGTGACATTGCTGTGGCAAACAGTATTGTTGATTTTTTTTTCTTTCAAATGTCTTATTCTATACAATGAATCAAAGAAATACAATTACAATAAATAATTAAAAACTATAATGTAATTTTCCTAGATTTTTTCACAGATAAATAATAATATAAAATTAATCACAGCTATGTATTGGACAGTGCTTCAACAGTTTTGTAACTATTTATAGAGAGAGTTTTGGCTTGCAAATTCTGCAGAAAGAATTTTGGCTTGCAAAGATTTGGCCTACAAATCTAGGTGGCTACTAGTCTTTTGTATATTTGTGTGAATTAATATATAATATTATTATATGTGCATACATGTGTATGTGTGAATATGAATATTGGAATAGTACAGTAAATACAACATTTTTTCTCTGTCACATACTCTATATTGGGTGGAAATGTTATTTAAAAGATCTTGTCAACCTAGAAACAGAAAAATTAACTAGAAATATTAGTACTATCTAATATTTTATCTCTCACATTGCAATCGTATAAACAGATCTATTTCTAATCTTCTGATTCCTTTCTTTAAGTAAAATGTATATATGTTTTAATGCTAATTTGGGTCTTGATATGTGAAAAGTACTGCTAATTTATTCATAATGACAGAGGAGGCAGAAGCAAGGCTTTTGTTTTCTTTATAAACAAAGAATGTTTTCCATTTGGCTAAGTAGATGGAATTTGTAGATTCCTTTTAAAGCTAAGTGGAATTTGTATAAAACAATATTAGCCAAGTTGAGCTGGATACATTCTTCAGTTGCATTAGCCAAGTTATAGGACTTGTAAGAAATGGAACTTCTGAGGACTTCTTTTAGAAAAATTGTGGCCTTTACTGTTCCAGGTCCAAAAAGGTACCACAATTCTAACAATTATCTATTTTAATACTGAAATCAATATCCCAAAGGTGCTTTTTCAAGAGGCAACTGTCTGGCTTCTCTTTGAAGACATTTTGTTTCTCATCAGAAGAAGCTTCTTGAATGAGAAACTAAACATCTTCAAAAAAACCCCAAAAAGTCCAGTTGCCTCTTGAAAACACACCTTTGGGACAACCGTGACCTGGATGATTGAGAATCTCCATAGACACTAAAATTAACATGCACTTAGGTTTCAGTAATATGGCCTATACTTCCTTTTCCCATAAAATTCTTTTTCCAGGCAATTTTGTGGAGCAAAGTAGAATTTTCTTTAAATTTGTTTTCTTGGTTTACTATAATAACAAATAAGGATTTCTCTTCCTGATCATCTGGAATAGGGCAAGATAGTATAAAGGATATTATAAATATTATAGTTTTATATCTTTAATTGCGAATGTTTACAGTTTTAAATCTTTAATATTGAACAACTCAGTGTTCTCCCTCAGTAGATTACACAATTCTGAAATATATATTTCATTTACTGCGAAATCTTGCTGTTACTAGCTAGAGTAAACCTTAAAGCATTTGTATATTATCAAGAAAATAATACATTTACTTACTAGCAAAACTTTTGAATAAATATTCCAGTATAATTTATGATTAAAAAACTAAAACCCATACATATTTTTAATTTTTTTCATGTAGAAAGGTGACAATAATGGAGGATCCTGATCAGAACATTCACCTGAAACATCTCTCTTTGCAGCAAGCAACCAATGAAGAAGAAGCTCTGAATCTGCTTTTCTTAGGTGACACAAACAGGATGATTGCAGAGGTGCGCATATTTTCAACGTCTCTTATTCTACAATCACCAAAAAGCTTTATAGTAAAATATATGTTTATTTATTTAAAATGTGTAAATAACCACCTGTTTTGTAATCAATTCTGGGAGCTCCTCTCCAGCCATCTATTCAGAAATTTCAGTGAAATTTATAAATATTGTTCTTAAAGTATCATTGTTTTGCTTTTGCTTCAAATATATTTAAATATGTAAACATTTAATTGAATTTGTGAATCCAATGTAAATGATATTGTACACAACCAGGTACTTTATAGTAGAAGAATCTATATGTGACAAGAATGGTACTTTGGCAGAGAAATCATGCAGTTTTTGTGGAAGGCATGTCAGCTAGATTTCCCCCACACAGGAATTTGGAGAATTTAATGAACAACTCTCCCCTACTTGGCCCTTGGAAACCATGATATGGGACTTCCATTAAGTGATGGAAAAGGCACTGAAATTGAGCCTAAGACCTGTAACTTTCAGAAACGTCTACTGGAAATGTATTATTGGAAATGGCTTCAGTGGTGTCGTTCCATAATGATTCATTCTTAGTTGTGGTGTGCTGAATTTCTGGGTAGCTTCATCCAAACTGAAGCTAGCCAAAGGGAGCTGGACAGATGTTTCCCTTGGCTTTTTTCCCCAGGGCAGTCCTAAATGTAACACCTCTTCTAGTATTTAAAATTTCTCCTCATAAGTCTCAATTGTCAGTTCCCTAGTCATTGCTACTGCCTTCCTCTGAATGTATATGTGTTGCAGCACAGTTCATATTGATAGATGAACATATGCTTAGGTCTTAATCTCAGCTGAACAAATTTGAAAATCAAAGTAGATAGGGATTTATCTGAACATTAAACTGCTCCATTTTTAATGTGACATGAAACAATAGTATATGATGAAAAAATGTTTTATGAAGCTAAGTAATGAGGAAACAAATACTAAGTTTATGTGTCTTTCCTCTGGCATGAATCTGGCCAAAATAAATCTTTGTGGCAGGTTTTCTAGTAATAGTGGGAATTCTTAAAAGATCTGAAATCTTACTATTCAGTAGGGGGAATAACTTTTTCATTATTAAATTGTAAGACTTTAGAATGGCAAAGATTGATTGATTGATTGATTTGATTTATTCAGTTTGTATGCCACCCTATTCCCAAGAGACTCAGGGCGGCTAACAATCAAAGAGGGAAGGGGGATACAAAATAAAAAATAAAAAAGACAAACACATAGTAAAAAACAACAACAGTCATACCCTTAAGTAGGGCTAAGAGATTCAGAGGCCCCAGGCCTGCCAGAACAGCCAGATCTTAATGGCTTTGCGGAAAGCTGGAAGGGTGGTGAGGGTCCGGATCTCAACGGGGAGATCGTTCCAGAGGGCCAGAGCAGCCACAGAGAAGGCTCTCCCCCGGGGAGTTGCCAGCCGACACTGGCTGGCAGATGGAATTCAGAGGAGGCCTAATCTGTGGGATCTAATAGGTCTATGGGAGGTAATTGGCAGGAGGCGGTCTCTCAAGTACCCAGGTCCGATACCATGTAGAGCTTTAAAAGTAACGACTAGCACCTTGAAGCGAGTCCGAAGACCAATAGGCAGCCAGTGCAGCTCGCGGAGGATAGGTGTAACGTGGGTGTACCAAGGTGCACCCACAATTGCTCGCGCGGCTGCATTCTAGACAAGCTGAAGTCTCCGAATACTCTTCAAGGGCAGCCCCATGTAGAGCGCGTTATAGTAGTCCAGTCTTGAGGTCACAAGGACGTGAGTGACTATCCAAAGGGCCTCCCGGTCCAGATAGGGTCGCAGTTGGTGCACTAGGCGAACCTGGGCAAAGGTCCCTCTGGTCACAGCTGACAAATGGTGTTCTAAAGTCAGCTGCGGATCCAGGAGGACTCCCAAATTGCGAACCCTCTCTGAGGGGCATATAATTTCACCCCCCAGGCTGAGAGATGGAATAGCTGGACCATCTTTGGGAGGGAGCATCAATAGCCACTCGTTCTTGTCAGGATTGAGAGCAAGACCCTAACAGCCTCCAGGCACTGGCACATAACTTCAACCGCTTCACTGAGTTGGCACGGGGCGGACAGATACAGCTGTGTATTGTCCGGGTAGTGGTGGTATTTTATCCCATGCCGACGTATGATCTCACCCAACGGCTTCATGTAGATATTAAATAGGAGGGCGGACAGGACCGAACCCTGCGGCACCCCATAATTGAGGGGCTTAGGGGTCGATCTCTGCCCTCCAACCAACATCGACTGCAACCTGTCCGAGAGGTAGGAAGCGAACCACCGAAGAATGGTGCCTCCCACCCCCACCTCCCGCAACCGTCGCAGAAGGATACCATGGTCGATGGTATCGAAGGCCGCTGAGAGGTCAAGGAGCACTAGGATAGAGGCATGGCCCCTATCCCTGGCTCTCCAGAGATCATCGATCAGCACGACCAAAGCCGTTTCTGTGCTGTAGCCAGGCCTGAATCCAGACTGAAAGGAATCCAGATAATTGGTTTCATCCAAGGACCGCCGGAGTTGAAAGGCCAAAGAAATATTTTCATTTATTCATAAAAGTAACCCTGTACAAATCACTTTGCAATATGGCAATTCTGAGGATTGACTCCTTTCTTATAAGGAATTGTTATTCCTAGAAAGGAATTCTATTTTTATTTCTTTAATCTTGCCTTTCTGTATTTGGCTTTACTAATTAAATTTCAGACTGATGTACAAATTCAGAAATAGCAAATTTAGGATAATTTAAGATATTTTTAGATGTAACCAGAAACACCACACAGGATATATACACTGTATAAAAATAAAGAAATTCTGCCTCACAATAGGAAATGGTGGTGGAAGTCAAATATAATTTTTTACATGGTACATGACGTAATGCAACATTTGTGAATCTTTTTTTCTGAAAGCTTAAGAGAAAGAAGACTGCATATACAATTCTGATAGATTTAATAAACAAGAATATGACCTTGTTTTTATTTATTTTTATTTTATGTATATCCCACCTTTATTATGATTCAAAACATACTTTATAATCATGTTTTCTTGCTATCACAACTCAGTGATTTGTTGACACCGGGAAACTTCCATCACATTGAACGTAACCCAATTTCAACCAATAAAAATGAATTGTAATGTAAACCAAAGAGTATAGTTATTAATCTCTTTACCATACATTCAAAACAGTGTAAGTCTATCAACACGAAAGACAGTATCATTAGCATCAGCATTTTACTATCTTTTAACAATAATAAAACTAACAAGAAAATAAAATATTGAATATCAAAATATGAAGACAAATAACTCAGAAGTTTTATTTTTAGGAAATTAAATCAAAGCCACCTTGCAGTTATTTTTTTTCCTTTTAATGCAAACTTAGCCTGTTTTAATCAGAAGAAATTTTTCAGTAAAAGGCTTTATTGCCATTTGTTCAGTTTGGGAGGACATATCTGTGTTGTATTTGTTTAGTTACTTGTGTTTGGAAAGTGCCTAGAGCTAATATTCTTGGCAGCATTCACATATATTTAATGAATGTAAACATTTTAAATATTTAAAGATTAAAGCAATACTTCTCTTTTATCTACTTTTTCATCTATGAGTATACTATCTATGTATTCTGCACATTTTAGCATATAAGGGGTTTTACCACTAACACATTTTTTTCACAAATATGCTGGTTTTAGAGAGGATGTGTAGGTCATCAGGCTTGTTGATGATACCATATTATTTCAAGCAAAAATTTCTCCCAATTAGAGGGCTTAAATTGAAAGAGTGAATGCATGTCGCCATAATCAAATGTTAAGGGACATACAAGGGTCCAAAAAAAAAAAAAGAAAAGAAAGTAAATACTCAGTTAAAACATGGAGTTTGTATGTAGCTATTGAGAAGATAAATTTTGTATAAGGGCTGTGTGAAAAGGAATGGAAGATGAATCTCTTGGTGCCATAATATTACACAAATCTGTGGCATATAACTGGTATAACTACACGGTTCTTCTATTCAGGTAGCCCTTAACTTAATGGTCACTAAGTGACCATTCAAAGTTATAATCACCCCCAAAATTACTTATGACCTGATTTTTAATTGCCAACATCCCCTCACTCAATGGTCATGTGATTGGATTTTGAGCACATAGACTGCTTTTATAGCAATTTGTGCATTATTTGCAGTCATGTTGCACAATTTACAATGTTTTTCTTTTGATTAAGGAACTCTCTTACTATATTTTATAAAGTAGCATGTTGTAGGACAGATGAATTGACCATTTTTTTTCCTTCCTCCAATACAGCCCATTGTAAATGGAATTATTATGGGATGTTTGTGTTAGACCTGAGAGGTTTCAAAGTATCATTGTGATCTGTTTTAACTTGAACCACTTTTTATTTCTAAATGATCAGTAACATTTAGACTGAGAATTAAAAAGTAAGGCTTAGGAAATGCTTTCTCTCACAGACTCCAATGAATCAAGCCTCCACACGTTCACATTGCATTTTCACCATTCATATCTCAAGCAAAGAACCGGGATCAGCAACCATTCGGCGTTCCAAGCTACACTTAGTGGACCTGGCTGGTTCAGAGCGTGTTGGGAAGACTGGAGTGGGAGGCCAGCAACTGACAGAGGCCAAATATATCAATCTGTCTCTTCATTATTTGGAACAGGTAAAGTTGATCCAGTCTCCATGTTTTGTTTTACAATATTCATGTTCTCTTGCACTGAATTTTGATTTAGACATGGAACACGATGGATCTCAGGTAGCTACTCTGTGGCAAAATGTCTGTACTATACTTTAATGTATTGTACTATTTCATAGCCCTTCTTATTTGGTGAGCAGTTTAATAGCACATAATGAAATTTAACAATAGTACTTATATATATAGGTAGTTCTCACTTAACTACCATTGTTCAGTGACCCTTCAAAGTTACACATGTGATTTCGGTAAAATGCAATTGGCAGCCAAAAGGGCAGAGATGGGGAGAGGGAAATAGACAGGAAGGGAGAATGCAGTTTGAGACCTATATTCTTTGTATCAAGTTTAATTTTTTGGGTCTACTTTTGTTATAAAACAATGAAGTGATTATGCCTAAACATAATACTCAGTTTTAATGTATTTTTTAATAATAGGCAGACCTGTCTGAAGTAAACAAAAGCAAGATATTAGAGCTTACTAAAATAGTCTAATTATTGCAGGTAATCATTGCTCTGTCAGAAAAAAACAGATCTCACATCCCCTACAGAAACTCCATGATGACTTCAGTACTAAGAGACAGCCTGGGAGGGAATTGCATGACAACAATGATTGCAACGCTCTCGGTAGAAAAAAGGAACATAGATGTATGTTTTCCCTTTTTCCCATTTCTCAGTCTTTTTGATATTAATGTAACAATTTTTATGCTCCAATTTCATATCATAACTTGCAGTATGATTAAATTCTGACAGTGACATAGCATTCTCAGAATGGGTTTTTTTCTCCATTTTTAAGGACTTGGCTATTTATTAGCTACTGAGTAAGAACTAGAGATAAAATAAAAAACAGTAGAAAAGGGGAAAAAATTAAAACCTCTCTAATACATACATATGTGTTGTGACTCAGCAGCAGTCTTCTGTGAGTCTTTTCAGGATGCAAGATTAGTTATGCAGCTGGGACTCATTAGGGGCATATTCTGGGGATAAAAGGACAGATGGTGCCACGCCCTAGTTGCAGGAGTCAACGTTCCTTGGTTCGTTCAACATTGATTGATCATCAGTCGTGATTTATGTAAGATACACTTGGAAAAGTGCTTTGTTTTCTGTAACCCTGATTCAAGGATACACTTGGAGAAGTGCATTGCGTTGTAGGAGTTTTTGTTTGGTATTCTGTTATCTGGTCAGAGACTGTATTTATGTTATTTTTGGGCTCGAAGCCAGTCTGAGCCAAGAACTGATAAAGAGAGTTCCTTTTAAGTTGTTTGCCTGTCGTCTGTTTAACGAGCGGAGAAGGGGGGACAGAACATATATGTATGTATGTATTACACACACACACACACACACACACACACACACACAGAGCTTGGATTTATTCACTCTCTCAATTCTCTCCCCTCTACCCCCCCTCCAAATATACTCACACAATCTCTCTGGTTTTTTTGATACCACCTTTGTTGTTACTTTAAGTACATGAAGGATGATAGGGAGTTCTGAGTAATGCAATATTTTTCTTTATAGTATCATGGTTCCAAATAACATCCAAAATTAAATCAGAGTCCAAGGCAAAGTATTGCTCAAAGTTCCAATGTATTAAGATAGTCATGTTGGCACATCTGGGAAAACCCAAATCTGAAGCTTCTTCTGTCCCCCCCCCCCCCAGTTAAAGTTCATGATCTTGCCCCCACACCCACAAGTCCATCACATGGTCCAATCTTCCACTGCTATGCTGGCAGTTCCACCCATCCAGTTCTGGTCAGATGCAGAGGTATACAGACAAAGGATGACCTTGGATTCTAGAAAGGAATTTTGTTTTGGCAACATAACATTCTACTCCTTACTATCCTCCCTCCCAATTCCCCACTAATGAAACAGCATAGTAGAATAGAATATTAGTGTGGCAGGCCAAAGATCCCAAAAGGAACTGGCTGCAGGCCTGACATATGGTTTAACTGAACATTCAAAGCATTTCATATTCTTCACTAGAGCCTTATCAGAGAATTGCAGATTTAAAAAAAAAATTAAATGGAGGAAAAGTTGATATTTTTTTCCTGAAGATTGCTTCAGATTCTAGGATGAGATTTGGATAAAAAAAAATCTTTTTCATTATATTTAATCAGATTAGGTGATAACAAGTAGCAAAAGTCATTGTGTGGATATTTACAATACAGTTCATTTTATAAAGTTAATTATATTCAGTACATAGTAAAAATCAGTCTGAAAGTATCTTAATTCACATAATAATAAATAATGATCTTATGGCATTGTTGTTTTTAAAACATTAACCCTGATAGAAATATAACTGAATTCCTTAGCAATATTGAAGCAGAATAAAGGATATTCTAGAGCTGGTTAATAACTTGTTTATAATATAGTAGGTAATGTTGGCATAAACTATATGCTAGTGGATCATCAGCAATTTAAAAAGAAAATATGACTGAAATTTAAAAAAAGTTAATTAGTTTTGAAACTAGAGATAGTTAAAATTAACAGAATTTAAGACTTTATTAGATTTTTTTAAAAAAAATTAAAAACATCATTAAGGGCCAATTTCTTACGCTGCACTATACATCACTGTTGATTTATTATTTAGAAAATAATTTAGCATCAATTATGTACATAGTTATAATTTTGAAATAATATTTATAGAAATTAAAAGGACGTAATACCAAATATTGATTTATGGCTGAAAATTGAAAACTCACCCATAGGTCTTTTGCTTTTTTGCCTTTACTCTTTAATTATTGAAATCTACCATTTGATCAGTTTTGTGTTCTTCATTGGCATCAACCTATGCGTTTAGCCCATTATTCTTAATTAACACAGAAAACTCTTCAAGGAGTGTCCAGTAATAAATCACTTTTCCCGGGCAGAGTACCTCGCTGCCCAATCGGGGAACAGAGATATGGTCACATGTTATGGAACCACATTTCCCACAAGGCAGTTCTGCCTACATTTCCCATAAGGTAGTTACATTTCCCATGAGGGAAACACTACCATGAGGTAGTTTCTTAAAGGAGACCGATCTTAATTCCTACATTAGCTATATACTGTTGGGACAGCACACTATTAATTAGTAAACACAAACAAATGTCATAATAATTTAATTTTATGGGGAAATATGGGAGTGGATATGGGGCTTCGGTTTTTGCTTGCAAATGTCATATTATCTAATTCAGTCATGAGATGTAATAGACAGAAACTATTTTTATCATACAATTTGTCTGGTATTCTTTTTTGTTAAAGCATATTAAGACAATTTTAAAGATTGTTACTTTGATTCTTACATTGTAGAAAACTTACCTGTTTACATAGTGATAGGTTAAGATTTTTTTTTCTTTTTAGGAATCTATATCAACCTGTAGATTTGCTCAGCGAGTTGCTGTTATTAAGAATGAAGCTGTTCTAAATGAAGAAATTGATCCTGGATTGGTAAGGCTCCTCAGTGACTCTTTATGAAAACACTACTGTACATAATATAACACGACAGTGATTTCCATGTAATAATCATTCCAAATAATTATTCATTTTGTCTCCTTAATATGGTAGTGGAGGTTATTTGTCACAAGTGATTAAAAGTGTTGCGTACTCGATGCAACTTACATAGTTTATTATTATTATTAAAAATAAGTAAATATTTTCTTTAATATACAGAGTGATCTAATGTATAATGTTTTCAATCACTAATATTAAGCAATCATTTTGAAGTTTTGTAATGTGGTTGTATGGAGTGATGTATGTAGTGTAGCTGTATTTAACTTGAAAGTAAGCAATAATGATAGCAATAGCACTTAGACTTACTGGTATATACCGCTTCATAGTGCTTTACAGCCCTCTCTAAGTGGTTTACAGAGTCAGCCTGGGTCCTCATTTTACCGATCTTGGAAGGATAGAAGACTGAGTCAACCTTGAGACTGGTGAGATTCGATCTGTCAAACTGATGGCAGCCGATGATCAGCCAAAGTAGCCTGCAGTATTGCACTCTAACCACTGCGCCCCCATGGCTCTTGTATATTCAATAGAACTTTTCTTCCAGAGACATATTCAGAATATTGTCTCCTTATAGAATAAAGATGGTGAAAACATATTCCCCATAACTAATCCAGAACTGTATCGATATGCTATAAATACAACTTCAAAGTGGGAAACCAGTAAAAAATTGAATCTCAGTTGTCTAGTTTTTACCATCTTTGAAAGGAGTTTCTTTTCCCTCAAATCACAGTTCTTCATTTTTCCAAAGCATGCCATTATTTAAGTTCACAGAATTATTTCATTTCTATAAAAGAAAATGAAAAATGTTTAATTTTTTTTGGGGGGGGGAAGGGAATATAAAGATTAGCAATTTGGTTTATATAGAAAAGAGCATCACATAACTTCTAAATCAGACATTCATTTTTATTCATTGTGATCCATTTTATATTTCCAGATGATTATGCGTCTGAAGAAGGAAATCCAGGAATTAAAAAATGAATTGGCCATGGTGACTGGTGAACAAAGATTTGAAGAACTCTCAAAAGAAGAGCTGCTAGAGTATTGTTTGGTTTTCTTTATGTCATCTTTATGTCATCATATATTCTGAAATATTTTTTTTAATTTGCGTAATAAGCATGGACATTCTAGTGAAATTTAGTTTCAGATAATACTTCAAATTAAGAGATATTTTAAATTTAACAGAATGAATAGTGAACTTACAGCAGCTGCAGTATTTTCACCCTGTCTTATTAATAGTAAGAGAATAAGAAAAAGTGAAAGTTGTAAGATCTAATTGCTATTTTATTATTATCAGACACAGATTTTGGCAGTAGATATGAATTTCCATATAGACAATTTTCTGAGAAGTAATTGGGCAGAGTAAGTAAAGTGCAAGAATGATGGTCTAGCTGCTATATTGAGGTATATGAGAATAATAAATTGATCAGGAACATGAATGGGGCTAAACTGTCAATGTTTAAATTAGCTAGGTGATGTGAATAACCTTTAAAGATTATTTTGTTAGGTATTGAGCCCAAATTGGTATTGAAATAAATGAAGTAAATCAGGCTTTTTACCGCAAATATTTCTTTTGAGACATTAATACATACCAATTGAGGAGAAGGTTCAGAGCCTGTATAACTTTAAAAAGTATTTAGTGAATATTTATAGCACTTAGAAATGCTGTGTTACTAGTTGTAATCAACAAATTTCTTACACGCTAAATCCCTGCTTGTAACTAATTTTTTTTTGCGATATAAGACTGCTGAGAGCATGATCAAATATAAGGTTTATAAGGTTTATTGTATTTATATGCCACCCTATTCCCGGAGGGACTCAGGGCGGCTAACATAACCCCAAACTTTCTGAATCCCATTATCTGAGAAATCTATAACTGCATGGTTTGATTATTGTATTTAAGACACTTCTCTCTGTAAACTTATCTATTGTATTGGAGAACAGAGTTCATCAGCATTATTATATTTACTTGGATTACTGTATTTTTCGGAGTATAAGACGCACCTTTTTTCCTCCAAAAAGAGGCTGAAAATCTGGGTGCGTCTTATACATCGAATACAGCATTTTTTGCCTCCTGAAACCCCGCCCCTTCACCAAAATGGCTGTGCATACCCTTATGGAGGCTTTCAGAGAGCTCCTGGGGGCTGGGGAGGGAGGAAATTTGCACAAAATGGGCCGGTTTTTG